AGACGCTGTCGGTCTAAGCGTTGTCAGCGCCAGACTTGACAATTTAACCCCTAGAATTTACAGTCGCGCCTCGGTTTCTGGGGTTTTCGTGTTGCAAGTGATTATGCCATCTATATAAGTGCTCAGAGGCTGATTCAAAGGTGGAAAATGCTAACTCTTAGTGTGGATGCGGACACAGTGGTATATTCGGCTCAATTTTAGTCCCACCTTGGCTAAATTTTAAGGTGAATATCCTTGTTGGCTTTGAATGGCAATTCTTAAGTGTCTTGCTTTACTCAGACGGAGAAAAGTGGGGGACTAGTCGGAACGGGAAATCAAGCTGTGCAAAGCTATTCAAGCGAAGTGCGAAATAAGTGGTGGTATCTGAAGGTATGGGCAGGATCTGGGTTTGAAGACTGCCTTGTTTATCGGAACGCACATAGACTACTTAACCTACCTCTCGATCAACATTTGGGCGCTTTTGCCAGGCTTTTCTCTACGACTTTGGGGTTTTACACTAGACATCCTAATTAACCATTCTATGGTTAAAGCCTCAGTCTCCGGCATTCCTATTTCTTGATAGCAGTAATATTTGTGCTACGCTTGTTTTCCTGCTTTAGTCTTGCCCAATCTTTTTGAACCACAATATTGTCTCAAAATGACATAGGGCATGCATAGCATACGTGTAGTATTGGCGCCGGAAGTACCGACACATTGGCTCTGATTGGAGGCCGCCACTTTTTTTCAAAAAAAGTGGAATGTGGGTCATTCCAATCGAAGATTTCTTTCCTTCAATTTGAGTACTCCCCATCTGCTCCTTTGCTAACTGTTCTGACCGTGAAATAGACTCAATGAAGTGACGGAGGATGGTTGAATAGTTGACACTACACTACCCATCTGTTACAGGAGATGGTTCATTTGCTGCTGTTGCATCGTCGCACAAATGTTGTCGATTCATGAATGGAGTCCTACAAGGGCATTTCTTAATGTTGCACTTACCCCATGTTCGATGGAATTGGTGATTAAAGGTGTATCAGCTTGGGGTAGAACATTCCCCGCCATCCAGTCTTCTCGATGATAATGAACTGAAGGTGGTCTTGTACTACTCTAGGAGTACCGTCGGTCGACAGAGTCGGAGTTTTCGCGACTAGAACAGGAGCGAGCAACAGCTCAAATGGAACTCTCTGAGGTGGAAGAGCACTACCGCACCCTGTTGGGGAAGAGACGTAATGCTGCAGCTGAAATGTCTGCACCTATCGATTTGCCCTCGGAACAAGCAGATTTGGAGCTCTACGCACTACAGATGCGCGAAGAGCTGCTCTCCACTAAGTTAGTCGGTTTTTAGTCTGTTCTCATCTCAGTTCGCCAACCCATCTTGACCTCATTGATCCTTTCTGGATCCATCAGTCCCTCTATTCGCGCTCTACCCGTCCTTCGTCTTTCTGATAATCCACCCATTCATCAAAGTATCCAGTAATGTTCGGTCAATCGGTTCTAATCTGTCGAATTTTTCAGTGTGTCCTGCGAGCACTTGCGCAACCGCCTAGACATGGAGACAGCCACCAATCGGGATCGACTAAACGAGGAGCGGTGGAAGCGAATCCAAGTGGAAGAACTGCTGCGCTCACGTGCACGAGAGGCCAATGAACGCATAGCTGAGGTAACGCGGAATTTTGAGGTCTCCAAACAGAACATTGAACGGGCAACGGAACGCGCTTCTGCTGAGGTCAAACGACTGCAAGTGAGCCCTTCTGGCACTTATTACCTACTTGCTTGTTTTAAGTAGCAAAGTGTTGCTCCCACTTCGTAAAAGTTCACGTTGCATTTGTCAGGGCGTTTTTTAATAATAATCCGTTATTTTTCACTCTAAAACAAGAGGTAGCTAACCAAACATTATTTATACACACTTAACCTATTTCTGAAACAATTTTCTTGTTCAACTACTTTTTTGTTGCAAAACAGTGGAGTGTCCTTTCATCGCTGTTCCCCCATGTGCTTTTTGAAGTGGAGCGTTTCCAAGTTGCACTTCGACAGGTTCTACATTTTTAGCTGTCAGATTTGTCTGTGGTATTCTATTATGCTAAAAAATAATGCGCTATGATATGTTTCTGGCAGTTGTCTCATATCCTTTGCTAGTTTGGTTGCATAAGGCAGTTCATCATAGAAATGAAGGCTGAGACAATTCTTTGTGGATCTGCTCGATGGAAATTTCAAAGAGACCAAAATTTACAAATTTAACAATGGGAAGGGCTGCTAAACATTTCTTAAA